TGATCTCTTTTGGCATCAATTATTTCCTTATTTGAATAGTTTCAACCTCTTGTTCCCTTAGGCATCTGACCGATTTACACATATTCTGGACTTTTTCTCAGGGCATGAGTTTAAGGCCAGAGGGATCTCCTGATTCGCAAAGATTTTAGGAACTTAAAAAAGTATTTTCTGCTGGATTTTAGTTAAAAAAAATTAAAGTAATCTAAACAGTTATTCCTACTTCTGATTTAGACCAGGTCCTCAAGCTTGCCAGAATCTCTGGGCCTTATTACCAGTAATTCAATCAAGATATTCAAAACTACTTAGACTTCTTTTCCTTTTCATGGACAGTTCAATTTTAGCTGAGTTCATAATCAATAATGACTAGATTTAGTTACAACATTCCGAGTTTCAATCCGATCAAAGAATTGCGTAAGAAAAGATAGACCACCAAATAAAAGGTAACCTTGAAATTTCTTCATAGCGTTACTTATAGCTTTACTGTTAATGCTAGAGCCGTAGTACCGAAATAAGGAGTCATATTTGATATCGTGTTCAAAATGGCCAGTTGAGAAAGAGTTAAGATTTGGTTTAAGAGCTGGATACGTGGCACTGTAATCTCAGTAAAACGAGTAACTATTTAATACTAAATCATTAAATAACTGCATGTAGGCTGAACTTTCACACTTTTATTGTAGTATCCTTATTCCATGCTCGCATCAGCTAGTCAAGTTCCTTTCATCTTCACTATAACTGTTTTTAAAAACTCTGCTATTTAAACGAAGCCGGAAAGACTTGAAAGAAAAGTTCATACCCTGAAGACAGCCCAGTCTTAGGCCAAGTGTACTGAGGTTGAAAAGGGATATCTGTAAACCGTTGACTCAATAAAAAGTGTATCAAGTCACCTTTTTGATTGGCATTTTTCTAAGATTTTTGGGTATATAACTCTAAAATAAATATACGACTTTATTAACATGCAAAAATATCGGTGATAGGAAAGTTATAATTAATTTATCCACTTAGTAACTTGGACATTATCGTATCATTTCGAAGGTTGCAAAAGGCAAATATTCGCACACCAATAGTACCTAACATCTGCTAGAAACTAAGCTGTACTATTTTTCATTTTAACCTTTAGTTATCTATATTAGTATATTATTGATGAAAATTGAGCATAAAGTATCTCATAATTTCAGTTTTGCTCTTCCAAACCGTGATCTTGATTATTGAACGATATTACCATACATGAAGCAGTTTATATACAAGTAAATGCGGAAACACGCTTAAATATATATATTTCTTTGTATGTGTTATGCATGTCTCTATTCCGGCCTGTATACATGTGAATGCGTGTCAGCTACTCTTCTAGATCCTCAAAAGTTACCGGGACCAATTAATAAAATTATATAGGTACTATGACCCAAATAAACCTATATATATACGAGGACCAAAGCAGAGGATTGCCGAGTTCTGATCACAATATAGAGTTGTTTGAAAGCACAAGAATCTGGGTGAGTTATTTCCTTTATATACACGAAAAGTTTAGCCTAGGAGAAAATTTAATTCCTGAAATTCATTCGGACTAATTATCGATTCATTTAACTATTACGTGAAATCATATCTCTGTTTCACGTACGCAAAGGGAATTCGCAGAGGGAAAATAAGGAATCGAGAAGTTAGAAAGCCTTTTGCTAGACTGTTCCAGTTTGCGTTGCGACGTCTGGATTTCTCGGATTGGGTCGGATGAATTTGAGTAAAGAGAATCTGACACTATCTTTGTTGGTTTCACGCAGTTTTCATTGCCAGTAGGAAGCTCTCTGGTCCGGTCTCCACTCTGGGGCGCTAGCGGATGGATCAACGTTGACATGCGAATGTTTGACATTGAAGTAGTATCGAGGCCTTCACAGATTTCTAAGGTTTCTTCGCCATTTTCAAGATTCGTTTGGACATTGAAGACTTCTGTCCGATTCTTTAAAATGGATCTGCCACGACGATTGGTTGGCCTTAGGGCAGTGGTCTCGTCAGCACGCCCAGGTAGAGCTGACAGAAGCCCTACTTCTGTAACCTGACGACTTTTGATGTCAGAGCAACCATCAACTTCGGCAATTTCGCTTTCAGCTCCTTGGGTCATAAGGCTGATGGTCGGGTAATATGCGTAGCGAGGTACAAAAACACGACCTTCGTTGAGACTGGTAGCTGATACGCAATTCAATGTTGAGCTGGAGGGGAAGAGAGTGACGGTGTGACGGCGTTTCCCGCTGGAATGACTGGACTTATTTGAGCAGTTTGGTATGTGCCGGGCTGTTTAGCAAAGAGGATAGGAGGGCAGGCAAGTTAAACTGGTAAGGGAAATCTTTGAAATGCTCATCCGTCTGAAAGGATACTATTGCCCCGGAGGGATTACCATATTGACTAGATAATGCATTAAGAAGGATAAGTATCCGGATAGCTTTAACAATGATTGTCAGCCGAAGCTCGATAGTGAGCTCCAAAATAAGTCATATTCGTGTGAAAATCCTGGAAGTCCTCAGTAATAAAAAAAATTAAAATAGAAACTGTGCCAATTTAAAGACGCCAAAAAAATAAATAATTATCTATTGCACAGCGATTTTATTAAACGTCTGTTTTACACTAACGAGCAAAACAAAATAGGGGAATATGGCATAAACCCATGAGAAACGCACGTAGCTATGTCCATAAATAAATTAGAAAAAAATCCATAATGCTGAAGAGGGGCACTCAGAATAACTTTGCGGTTAGAACAATAGATAAATGAACATAATTTTTCATGGTTTTACGGACTATTAAAGTTATTTTGGGCCCATTTTAACAGTTCACATTATGTATTCCAGTATCGAAGTTAATAACTGTCAAACTGTTTCCAATTGATATAACATTCGCCAATATTGATGCGAGTTCATCTACTTCACTTCGAAATTCGTGCATTTTATGTGTTCAGCAGGTGCAAGACTCATGTGGCTCTATTTTGGTCGTTGCACACAAGTGGTTTGACCCCCTTAGCCATATTGCCCTGGCGACCACGATGACCTCACAATGTCCAAGAAGTCATTGTGGATTCCAGTGTCAGAATGTTGACTAGCTACATTCCCAGACGCTTTATCAGCCTCATCAGTAAGACTGGCCATCCTTAATAATTGCTTCATTGAAAAGATGTAGCTGAGTTCTAGGAATTGCACGGCTTACTGGTGATGCTGGCGAAACACCTGTGAATGTACCAAGTTTAAGGTCCGACGCTGAAAAATTTAATGACCTCTATGACTGAAGGCTTCGGACAAGATGCGCTCATCGGGGTCTCTGAAAACATGATAGAGTTCCGGGAAACTAGGCCAATCTTGAGTATTTTAACCATCAGTGCTTACTAGACCATACGGGAAATTGCTTAAATTATAGGAAATATGATCACTTATATTTGGAGCCAAAAGGGCCAATAATTTTGAATAAAATACAAACTTGCCTGTTATTGAGCTTCTGACTTCTGGAGAATGATACAAGCATTGATAACCACGTTTTAGTGATGAATTAACTCGTATTTTAGAGGGACTAATCTGATTGCATAATGACCTATCCATCCATAAAACAGGGCTACAACCGCCATGAGTAATTAATGCAACAATTCCTGCGACCCGAAGATTTGAACTACACATAAACTTTACCGGAATTATCGGCAGTCCCTAGCCAAAATATTTATATGCGGTGAGTTCCAGTTAATCAAGACACCTCGGGACCAACACACTGGCCCAATTAAGCGGCTGCCAAAAAGTGTGCGGCCAGAAATTGTAATAATTTGCTTGATTTTTTATTATTATATAAGATGTGTGTGCCTCAATTGTCAGACGGCCAGATCCATCCTTTATTTCTTTGTAAATACGAAGAGAAACTGGGTTTGATGAATCTCCTAATATAACATTTTTAGGGAGACTTTCATTTCGTATGAAAGTGAAATATGAAATGAAGAAGAGATTCGTTGGTCGATCTCACCAGATGAGGACGGACGAATAGCGTTGCACTGCAGCCGTTTGGCTTTTATACGATGTCCATGTTGATGCAGTCCACACGACTTCCTCCCTCGTTTCGGGAGAAAACGGGCTGAGCTTTAGTTCATCATATGATGGATATCATCAAAGTTGGGTGTCATTTTTGTAAGAGTCTCACGTTAACTCTAGGGAGGAAGTCTCGTGGACTGCATCAGCATGAACATCGTATAAAAACCAAACGGCTGCAGTACAACGAGATTCATTCTTCCTCATCGGGTGAGATCGACCAACTAATCTTTTGTTCATGCACTTTTATACGAAATGAAAGTCCCCCTAAAAGCACTATTTCTTTGTAACATCACCAGACGCCTTTTTACAACCCAATATGACACTAAAACAAATCCACATACTTTTATATAAATTGCACGCATACAGTAGTTAGCGAAATTCCGCTTAAATTAATTGTGGTAAATACACCTAAGCATGCATGGGTGAAAAAGTAAGAGCGAATCCGGCTGTATAAGCTGTTCACCCGCTAGTTTAATGGAAATAAATGTCTCAAATGAAAAGAATCAGGAAAAATATACATGTCCCTACACAACAAGATACATTCATGGAAAATGAATAAATTAGGTGATAAAGTTATACAATTATCAGACAGATTAGCTGAAAGAAAAAAAACGAAAATATGTAATAAGCTCGATGAATGGACATACTATTAAGCTCACCACAAGGATATACATGAATTCCAGGTAACTATAGTAGCAAAATCTGTCATAAACTCTGAGGCATCTTTTAACATGCAGAAAAATGACTATTGTATAATGGTAACTTTTTGCTTAGAAGTTTGTCGATAAAAGTCGATCTAATATCAAAAGGATTTCGGGACTCTATGTCTGTCATACACTGATACTCATTTGAGCAGCTTTTCTTATTTTAATATTCACTCTGTTATAATAGTGTCGCTAGTTAGGCGAACTCAGGGATCAAGACTTAAAGATGTTCCATACTTCACCAACCCTGGAGCGAATCAGGAAATGGAAAGCTCCGACTTGCATTAATAGGGATATTGTAAGATAGCATTGCTGAAATATCTCTCCTACATATGTGATCTGCTTTGGAGTCATGCCAGCCCTGAAACACGTTGACTTAAGGCCTAATGAATAGTATCAGCCTATGAGCAGGCACAATTAGTTATGCATCTCGATCGAATCGATGATCAGACTTATGCGAAAGGAAGGAAGGTACGCAGAGGTGTGCTTAAAGTATAATGTGTTGGGAAGACTTTCATGTCGTATGAAAGAATGACGAAGAAGAAGGCCTAAGCAACAGGATGAAATAAGGCCGAGAAGACCTGATGTGAGCTTGAGACTTTAGCAAGAACGAGTCCAGCCTTTGATGATGTCGATCATCTGATGAACGAAAGTTCAGTCCGTTTTCAGGGAGGAAGTCCCAGGAACTGCTCACACTTGAACGCCGTATTAAAGCCAAACGACTATATCACAACTGGAATTAGCGTCGTATTCTTCGAATCTCTTCAGCATACATTTTCATGCGAAATGAAAGTATCTCCAACAATGTTATCTTAAGAGATTAATCGAAACTCAGTTACTCTTCGTATTAAAAGAATGCAGCCCAGTCGCTACTCTATTAACAAGTACGGCAGAGCTCAAACAATAAAGTAGCGAAGAGAAACTTGGTTTCGATGAATCTCCTGAGATAACATTGTTAGGGGGACCTTCATTTCGAATGAA